ATTGTAAGTCCGCAGACATACCGCTGTGCCACTAGGGGGCATGAAATTTACAAATTAATAAAAATGAATCAAAGAAAAGCTATTAAGAAATCTGCTCATTTTGCTCAATAATTAAATAATAAATTTCAGAACTCCATTCTAATTGCTTTTTATTGTATTTATTCCACAGTAGTGTTTAAAAACATATACATAAACTGATTCTTTTAAACCTTTTTTTTGAGATTTTGGTCAATGATAAAAGAAATTAATAATAAAAATGCATACCTCAAGCATTTGTTTTTGTTCTACTCTCTAAGGATTCTGATTTTAAAATCTTTCTAAAAACCTACAAAAGTGCTTTATTTTAAAATTATGAAGAGTCAAAATTACATTAATGAATTTTTATTGTTAAAAGACTGGTTAAATAAAATGTTTCTTTACAGTTTTCTCTTGAACTGATTGAATGTAAATAATTAACAAGTCTGATTCTCTTGAACTGATTGAATGTAAATAATTAACAAGTCTGAATACTTTTTCAAAGTAAAATTACACGTAATTCCAGACAAAGTAAATAATTTAAGGGTTTCAGTTCAATTTTTCTGTTTAAGGAATTTTATATGTTTTATTTTGAAATTGAACAAAAATGATAGACCAATTGCAATATGTGCCAAAGTGTTATAATTTCTAAAAAACATATATTTGTATGATAAGATGGATGTAAAAGTATATTTTTACTGCTACTGTACACTATTAGCATAGTTTGTCTACTAAAATAATTTCTCTCTGTTTCCTCTGATTTACTCCCATTCACAGTGTTCATTCGAGTGTTTATATGTCATTAGCACAAATGATTCAATAAGGATGCATTATACTAGCCTATTAGTGTTATATTTTTTAAATTTTACATTCATTTTTTAGAACATTAACTATATATATATTTTGTGAAGGTCATCACAGCTCACATGATGATGAATGGCACACAAAGATTGGATGAGTGGTAATACAGATTGGCTTAACCCTATTAGTCTTGGTACTACACATCCTTTTCTTATAATATAAAATAAACATTCAAAGTAGCATTAAGATTGCTGAAATACCTTCTATCTCAGCCATGTTGAAATCCAAGCTCAAGTTTTTGTTTCAAAAAGAAATAAACCATTACTGAATTTCTTGAAAAACTAGAGCATTCAAAAGATTCTATTCTTAACAAAGCATCTATACCACTACTTGTGATTTTCTATTTGTCCAGCAATACATGACATATTGTATCTCAAAATAGTTTATTGAAAAAGAATGAGCATTGTTGATGTAAAGAAAAATTTGTGCATGCATACTCTAATAAAGTTTCAATAAATAATTCTAGAAAAATCAAAGTGTACTCATATTACTAACAAATCTAGAAATTATATTAGTGGTGTAAATAATGTGAACCATGTTGAATTGTTTTTTCTTTGAGCAATATAACAAAAATGAGAAATACTTTGTGTATAAACTAATTACTATAAGGAAATACAATATTAACTAGTTAGAAAGTGGAACTGCTCTTGTTCTAAATGCTCACTTTTCATTGAACTGTAGTCTAGTTAAATACTTGCTGTTAAATGTTGGCTGTTTTACAGTTTGAATAGAAATGTTTCAATTTTTAAACAAAGTTTTCCTCTGATACCTCTTCTTATCCAAAGCTTCTAAGTGAGACTGTGACTGTGTATAAGTAGACCTTTTCAACAATAAGGGCACAGTTACTCATTACAATATTGGTTAGTATTCATAATAAACCTTGACAATATTTAATACATCAATCACAATTTTATTTATCTATAACATATTATATTAGGGAAATATTGACATTTGTTTACAATTTACAGACAATGCCCAATTTCCAAAAACCTCAGGGCTCAACAACTGCACAATAAAAACTTTTTAAAACTCACAGTCTACTTTCAGGCGAGTCTAAAATGAACACTACCTTTGTTCATAAATACATGAAATTAATTATGATAAATTCTAAACATTAATGCTGTTTCATGAGCAGTTACAATATACATTATATACTGTGTACACTCAACAAGCCAGCTAAAATGTGTAAAAGCCTAAAACTAAACACGAATTTTAACATTTACCTGCTTAACAACAGCTTTAATGGCAGTGCAGGCTTCTTTCTTGTAAACTTCCACAAAGTCATGTCGTCGGATTCGTAGCATCCCAAACACAACTGCCACTAGCCTTTCCTAGTAACAAAGATGTATTATATGTTCACTACAAGAAATAGTTTATAAATACAGCAGAGAATTTGCATAATATTATTAATACATCACTAACCTGAGTTAAAAAAAACATGTAAAGTGCAAAGATATATCATAAAACTAAATAAAAGTAAATAACCAAAATCACTTGTAAAAGAAACTATTTTAAAATATATGGAAAAAAAATAACTTTAATTGCACCAAGCTAATCTAAAGGACCAAATTCTCACAGTTAAATTTTTAAAGCAGAATGATTAATGTATTAAAAGCCTAAATATTAACTAAAACACAAGAATCAACAAACTTCTAACATGTATTATTATATATCATTTTTAACAAATCATTTCTGGCATATAAAATTCTATGAAGTTCCTTTACTTTTTTAACTCACTGATAGTGGAAAAAGGACCAATTTTGGCAAAAGACCATTTGAAACTTCTTCTCTTAGACAGTTTCCATGAAATCATAAACATTGAAGCAGAAGTTATTAATATGGTGACCAGTAATGGTTTTAAAAGATATGCCTTTAAAGCAGATAAAATTAGCAAAAAATATGTGAATTGGTTAATGTAGATCTTTACTAGTGAATTGCTAATTACAAAACCTTGTTCATTACAAATGTTAATGTTTGTAATTTAGAAATAAAAACATTAACAACCAAATTAGTATCATACTTACAATATCCAATACCATGATCTGGTCAGTCAAAGGTCTGTGTAACTCTGAGGAGACACAATGAGTAAACTCAGTCTGCATCATTTTATCAATCACTTTCTCCATTTCTGCTAGTTGAGAACCTAAATGTCTATCAAGATCACCAAAAAAATAAATGTTATCAATGACTAAAGTCTTTACAACATTATAATACTGAAGTTCAGTAGATGATATAACTTAAAAAAGTTCACAATATTGCAATATATAACTTCAGGACTTATATTCAAGCATCTGTTATGTTGAACAAGGCAATAAGTTTTTATACTTCTGTATTGCTATACTATGTGAGGTCCTTTTCAACTCCCGCTAATCAAAAATCATACCATGTCCAGAAAGATACACAAATGAGGGATGTTTTGGTGAGAAATGATATTAATCTAAATAGGTTTTATTTAAAATGGCATAAAGAAATAAGGTCTAGGATCAAGTTTGATCCACAGCAAATTTTTATTTTGCTCAAGTAAAATCATTATATATATATAGTGTTCTACTTTAAAGTCCAAGAAATGCACACAAGAAATTATTCTTAAAATAAAAACTTACTTTCACTAGTCAGTGCTGACTATGTCAACAGTGATATGAGAGTAAAACTTTACAGTTGTTAGAAGAAAATTCACCAAATCTGTTGCTTAACTAGAATTTACTTATTCTAACATAAAACAACTTTTTCATCTTAAAATTAAAAAAGCATGAGTTTAACTCCATATACACAGGCTCAGTCCATTGGATCTAGCCCATACTGGAGAATTCAAGACCACTATAATTCCAAACTTACTTTGTATATCTTCAAAAGATTTGGCAATCTTTCAGTAGACATTAAAAGTATGTTTTATACAAAAAATCAGATTTTCTAATAAAGTATTTATATAAAAGAATCAGCTGAGAATTTACTAAGTAAGTTTCTATGAAAGGTGAATTTCATTATAGAAATACTTTTCATTTTAAAGTTTTCATATATCACTTGCAAAACCTCTGGTTTGTTTGTTGTTAAGCAAAAAGCTACAAAGTGATATCAAAACCCAATTATTAGTGTTATAAACCTTCAGACTTACTGCTGAGACAATAGGGAGCTTTTTTAATCTCCAACACAAGTACCAAAACCCAAATTTTAATGTCATAAGTCTGCAAACTTACAATTAAGCCACTGAGAGGAATAACTTTTGGAACTTCCTAAATGAATATCAGAAGTTTTTTTTTGGTAATAGTGTATACTTTATCTGTAGACTTCTCTACACCAGAAATGCGATAGTACTTAAGGGAGTCCGCAGTAATACATCCAATTTATGAAATTACCATTTACTGAAAGAGTAACGAATAAAATAAAATGCAAAAACATTATAAAACTAATACAGTAATATAAATAAATCCCAAATCAATAATTGTAATTAACAGAAACTGAATTATGTAAATTCGTTGTGTGCCTGCCACCATTGCCCGCCAATCACAAAAAACAAGACATTTGATTTCCAGTTGGATTGAAGCATCACTACAGTGTGTATGTTAGTGTCACAATTAATAGTTATAACAATAATTACATGGTAACTACTGGTGTCAGTAACAGTGAATTATAATTTGCTTCAAGAATTTTTTGACATTTTTTAAGTTGGCCATAAAATTATGGATCAGCACTTAAATCTAGTGTAATACCAAACCACAAGCATAGTGACAGGCCTAGTGACACAAGTGGTAGCTCTATTGCATCAGGCTCAAATGTTGGAACTTTGGAGCATGAATCAAAACAGAAATAGTGTAAATATTGTTATGAATATTTAGCATTTTGGTTTACTTGCACTTGGTTAGAAAATGATCAAAAGCCTCAGTGTGTTATGTGTTATGATGTATTATCTAATGAAAGCATGAAACCATCCAAGCTTCACAAGCATCTTGAAACAAAAAATAATGAATATAGTAGCAAATCTGTGGAATATTTTTAAATTAAAGAACATGAAATGCATAGAAAACAATTATTAGAAAAAAATAGCAACTGGTTGAAAAAATGAAAAAGCTACATTTGCTTCATATGAGAAATCTCTTTAATAGCAAAGACTGGAAGTACACATACTATTGGAGAGAAACTAATTTTACCAGCTGCAAAAGTAATGTCAGGTGCAATGTATGGAAATAAAGCAGCAAAAGTAATATCAGGTGCAATGTATGGAAATAAAGCTGCCAAAGTAATGTCAGGTGCAATGTATGGAAATAAAGCTGCCAAGGTAATATCAGGTGCAATGTATGGAAATAAAGCTGCCAAAGTAATGTCAGGTGCAATGTATGGAAATAAAGCAGCAAAAGACAAAATTTGATTTCACTATCACACAACATTGTTAAATGTAGAATTGAGGAAATGACAGAGAATGTTAAAAGTTAATTAATTACAAGAGTATGCCAAAGCCAGTATTATTCTCTGCAGTTGAATGAATGTACAAACGTTGCTAATCATGCTGAATTGCTTGCATTTATTCAGTACGAATTCAGTGGAAAAATTTATGAAGATCTCATATTTTGCCACTCCTTGCCAATCAATGCTACATCTGAAGCTATATTTAACAGTCTGAACACCTTTTTTTAGCAACAAATGAAATTGTTAAGACTGTGATGCTTACAGTTATGTGGACTCAATGTTGTATACACAGAGAAACATTGGCTGCAAGAAGAATGGACAAAGTAGTAAAAGTTGTCAATTTTACAAAAGCTTGCCTACTAAACTTCCATGATGAGATGGGTAGTGAACATAAACATCTTCTCTTGCATTTAGATGTGCACTGGTTATCTCATTAGGACGTGTGCTGGTTATCTCAACAGGACGTGTGCTGGTTATCTCATTAGGATGTGTGCTGGTTATCTCATTCGGATATGTGCTGGTTATCTCATAATGATGTGTGCTGGTTATCTCATTCGGATGTGAGCTGGTTATAAAATTCTATTGTGTGCTGGTTATCTCATTTGGATGTGTGCTGGTTATCTCATAAGAATGTGTGCTGGTTATTAAATTCGAATGTGTGCTGGTTATAAAATTCTATTGTGTGCTGGTTATCTCATTAGGATGTGTGCTGGTTATCTCATTAGGATGTGTGCTGGTTATCTCATTTGGATGTGTGCTGGTTATCTCATTTGGATGTGTGCTGGTTATCTGATTAGGATGTGATGGTTGAGCATTTATTACATTTGAAATGAATTAATGTTAACTACATTCATATATAGCCCCATGTTCTTACACCAAACTAAAAAAAACTATTAACTTTTCTGTCCCCTGGTGGGACAGCGGTAAGTCTTCAGGTTTACAACACTAAAATCACGGGTTCTATCCCCCTTGGTGAACACCACAGATAGCTCAATATGGCTTTGCTATAAAAACATACACACACACACATACTAAATTTTCTATAATGCAGCATACACACAAGTGTCATATATCTTGGAGAGTGTGTTAACACTCTCTATTGAGGAATGCAATGAAAAAAATGGCTGCCACTATTGCAATAATACATAAACTCAGATAACATTGATACAACAAAGCCACCATAACGTTGATATAAAAAGCCATTTCTTGAGTTATACTCACTTCCTGTTTTGACCTGTGACCTTACAACTTCATCCCATAAGACACTTCTGTGGCCAATGACCATCAATTAATTAATAATGTGAAACAGCATGGAAGGACATTAAGAGGTGGGTTTTGAAAGTGAGTAATAGAAAGCACCCCTACTGCCACTACCTCTTCATACAAAGTCACCCTGACCATCACACAGTGTGTCTCATGCTTTAAATATATATATATATATATATATATATACACAGTGAGTTCTTAAAGCTTATACAGAACTTTTGGTTAGGTAATAATGAACACTGTAATAATATGTTATGTTATAAATAGATTGTGTGAAAGTTAGGATTTTTGCAATATTCATCAGAGCATCCACCCCCACATTTTTTTTTAGTTCATAACCCGGACAAAGGATAGGTACCTCAGCTTGTTTGTAATAAAGTAGTTTAACCCAATTTTAAATTTAGCTCTATAAAAAATCGTGACATGAACACTTTGATTCCACCTATGGACATAGAGTTAAAATAGATTTTTGAATATTTTAAGTTAACATTTTCTTACATTAAAAATGTATTTCCGGTAGGTACTGCCCTCTAAGCATTGCTAAAATTTTTTGCTAACAGTGCATCAGTCTTTTATACCCCATCAGTTTTTCTGAACATGTGCTGATCATGTGATTTCCCTCCACCAAATATATTGTACCATATCTACTAGCACAGCAAAAAATCTCAGGTAAGCACCTTACGTTGGATTATGCCAAGTACAGGCCATCAGGGCAAAAAACATCCAGTGGAAGACCTTGCATAAAATATAGGAAGAAACAAGTGCAGTCTGCCCAGTTAAAACCCAAGGGGGAAGTACCTTGGATACATAGGATTAGGTCAAGTGTGGTTCGCCCAGGCAAAAAACATCCAGGGGATGCACTTTGGGTTATGTCCAATAATGGCAAGTGTGGTCCATTTGGGAAGAAAACATCCATTGGAAATACCTTGCATAAGAAATTTTTTGATCAACAAGTGCAGTCTGCCTGGGCAAAAACATTGGGGGGAAGTGCCTTGGATACTGAATACTATTGTATAATTCATTGTTCAGTACTGTAATGATAATAACGACTAAACCTCTTTTCTCACCAAGTGAGTACAAAATGGCTAAAAAGCTTTATTTTGTTTTTCAAAACCTAGTCAGAAAACCTCCATGGTCTATCACTCCAGCAACTGGAAACAGGAAGTGGTAAGGACTCCCATGCTCCATGGTCTATCACTCCAGCAACTGGAAACAGGAAGTGGTAAGGACTCCCATGCTCCACTAGAAGAGAAGGGGAAGAATATGTGTTAGGGAGTCTGGAGGAATAACACACCAGAGACAATGCAATGGGTGTCTGTGATTCCCTATTTTGAAAAGCACAGACCCAAACTGTAGGAATCATAGGTCAGTAAAGATGGGCAGAAACTGCCATTTGCTTTACTAATGAGGTCAATGAGTGATGGTCTCTTATAAATGAAACTAATAACTTTTAGTAAAAAGAAAAATACATAGATAAACATACCACTGGACAAGCTGCCTGTGGTCATGCAGAAACACCTCATCTCAACAGTGAGCAATATAGAATTATTTGTATCTAGTGCAAATATGTATGAACCATACCTGACTAGGCAACACCTGCCACCAGGTGGGATCCTTAAATACAATATGTATCATCTCAGAAGATATAGAAAAAGTAATATGCAGAAAACAGCAGAAAGACAATACCTGTCCAGGGAATACACAGCCAAGTTGTGCAGATAATGTGGAATGAATGTATTGGGAGTTGTCCACATCCCAGCCTGAATGATCTCCTCCAAAGACTGGCAAAGGTGAACAGCTGAAGACATAGTTAGATAACAAATTTGGTGCAAAGAAACACTGTGCAGACAGTGACCTTCCATGGACAAGTCATAATACAACAATTGTATTAGTTAAGGAATCCAACCAGTGAGTGCAATAGGGGACAGATTGTGGGACACAGAGGGAATCCTTGGAATAAATAGATGGGAACAATAACATGAATGAAACAGACAAAGATTTCTATCCAGAACTGAAAGGGAGTACAGTTGGGAAATAGAAAGTAAGGAAGTAGGAGAGAAGGCCAAGCCACCTACCTGGGGAAGGAAGGCCCAATCAGGATAGAGGATAACATAAAAGGAATGGGAAGGGAGGAGGTAAACATCCATGGCAAAAATATGGGACAGAGGTAAGGGCAGGGGATGACACTCTAGTAAGGGCCAGAGCAGAAGAAATCATGTTTCAGTAGGCCAATATGGAGCAACCAGCAGGACACAACAGTCTGGATAAGGGAAAAAACTCTGGAGAGAAGGGTGATTGGCGGGTATGCATATGGGTGATGACCCCTCCAATCCTGACTGAATGCATCTACTCCCAGATTATAGAAGGAACCAGAGGCCAAAAGGAAAGAATTCTGGCATTCATGTGAGTCGCAAACACATTTATATGCAGTGTTCCCAGTTGAGAACACACCCATCTAAAATACTCCATTGTGAAAACCTGGTTAGGTCGAGATAAGCAATCAGCCACCGGATTCATAACGACGGGAACAAGACATGCTAAGATCGCCATGTAGTGGTCATGGGCCCAGTGAAGAAGATCCAGAGTCTGAAAACACAGAGATCTGGATTTGGTTTTCCCATGCTTGATGACACAGCCAACGACAGTGGAACAGTCAGAATGAATCATGCCTCCTCCCTCAGGAGCAGGAGGAAATGATACACATAGCCCTATGAACTGCCAAAAGTTCCAGGATGTTGAAAACGGAGAGTGGCCTCCCCAGAAGTCTATCGACCGGAAATATCTTGGGATTCAAGGAAAGTCCCCCACCACCACCACCAAGGAAGCATCGGTAAACAGATCAGACTCTGGACAAGGTGGAGTAATGGAAGGCCCCACCATATTCAGTTCCCTGTCGAGCCATCAAGCAAGGTTGGCCCTGATCCCAGGAGGAAGGGTAATAGGATGGTCCGAGGGCTCATTGGAGAAATTCCATTAGTCAAGAAGCATCACTGAACGGAGTGCATGTGAGCTTGACCAAGGGAATGAGAGCCTCCAAGAAAGCCCACATCCCCAAAAGTGAGAAAAGGAAATGGCAGGGCCATTGAGACTGCCCACTCTGTATCCCAATGGAATGAGATGTTGAGTTTGGTTAAGAATGGACTCCTCCAACAGGATCAGAAAATCCTACCCAATTAGCTTCTCAAAGAAGTAAGCAGGCAGGATTGTCTGATATGGCACAGGAAGAGGCAAGCATGAGCCAGTTCATGAAAAGGAGGCTGAAGACCCAACAAGTGAAAAGGATGGGCAAAAGAGCATACCACTCGACAAAACACACAGAGGCAAAGAAAGACAAGAGTGGCAGTGCCCAGAACTGGAAGACACAACCCTAGTGGACAAACCGAAGAAAAAGGCATGTCACCGGAGCAGTTGGAATATGAAGATAGGCATTCATCATGATGATTTGGTCATCCAGAGTCCCAGAGAAAAAAAAAAAGTAAGAGGTAGGACTCCATAGAGAAGTGAAGAGGCTTCAGATAAGAGTTCAACTGGGACTGGTTTCCAATCTCCTGTTTTTTCAAGGTACAACAATCAGACAGGAGTAAAACTCTGGCTGAGTGTGTACCACCTGTTCAACAGCCCCTTTCTGTAATAGGTCTTGAACAGACTAGGCAAGCCAATTGAAAGGAGTACAATCCTGAGGAGGAGGGTAGGAGATCTGGGAAGTGGAGTGGGGGAGCAGAACTGAAGGTAGAAGCCTTCAGACAGAACCCATAAAACCCATGGAACTGTCGTGAAGTGTAGCTGAAAAGACACATAAGTTAAACATACTTAGTGAAAGTACTCATTACTAATGAACTAACAAAACCTAGAAATGTGTAGAGTCAACAAAGTACACAAAAATAACAAACTTGCAAAACTATGAAATTCGACCTGAAACTTAAAACAATATGTAACATATAAAGTACAAAACTATGAAATTCGACCTAAAACTTGAAACAATAAGCAACATATAAAGTACAAAACCACTAAAGGAACTGAGAAGATAAAAGACATGTAAATATCGAATTATAAGTCCACTCCAAGAACTGATAAGACAAAGAACACAAAAGTAAAACCTACACTGAGAAACATGAGAATGAAAAGGCACTCAGTTAACAATAACAAAATCTGACTCAAATTTAATCCCCAATTAGATGTGACTAGTAGTAAAGAAAAAGGAACTTACAAACTAACTACTTATAAATTTCTACTTACAATAGGTTTCAAACATTGAAAGTAAAATACAAAATCAAAGTAAACTTAAAACAGCAACTCTCTCAAGTAGGAAAATTTTTATGTTTGGGCACATATAGAAACTAATTAGTTTAACTGGCTAATAAATTTCAAATCTAGCATTAGGCCTATGGAAGATAAAACTGTGTAATAGTGAAATTAAGCTACCAATAATCTTACTTCAATAACAATTATTTGATGAAATATTTTACAGGGACTTAAATTGGGAACAAAATTAATCAGGTCATTACTATTATAACAATTACAAAAAGGATAGAGAAAATATATATGAGGGTGAAGCATAAATTTCAAAAATTAAAAGCATGGATGCTTATAAATGGCTAAGGTGTGTATTTTTATAAAACTTATACACTTACTTCATGATGTCAGCATTATCTTAAAAAATTTAAACAAGCACTAGAAAAAAAAAGATTTAAATAAAGTATGAAACCTTCAATCTTAAATGTTCCATGTACAAACTACAAAACTTTTGGTAAAAACAGAAAATTCAGACACAGAAAACCTGTATTAGTAACTTACATGCAAGCATTTTTGAAAAGAAAGAAACTTGTTATAGTTTCTTTTGGTTTTATTATTAGTTAAGTATAAAGAAGTATTACATCTTATACAGAATAATATATGTATAAATACAGAATATGAAGAAACTACAAGATGATTCACAACACAGATTCATTAAAAACTTGGACACACACTGAGTAATCAGGCTGGTTCATAAAACCCCAAGTACAGGAAAACCAGTTTAAAAGAAACTGCTTTATTCTTCAAAATCAATTTAAAATGGGACATCTTCTGGCAATCATTTCCTAGCTATTTGCCTTTTTATTATTTTATATAAAATTATGTGTTAAAATAATGTATATACATACACATATATGTGTACTTTTCTATTTATCTGTCATTATTTTACTGATTTTTTTCAAAGAAGGCTACTTATAATGATTACACATAACACACTCGTATCATATATTAAACTACCTTAATATACATACTCCTTCATCACTGCTGTTCTCATTATTACCTAAAACAGTGAATACCAGCCAGTTCTTCTATTAAAACTTTCTGGGTTGTATAGATAAGATCAATTGCACCAACAAAGTCAGAAGTCGATAGCAGCAGTTGTATGGTTGGTTGAGTTTGGTGGACCGTGGCCATCACTTTGGCCTGTAAGTAAAAAATATACATCAAAAACATGTAACTACATATACTTAGTATATATATAATTTATCTTACTGCCACAAACATGCACAAATATTTGGAATAATCATCAAATATACATTGTAGTCCGTTTTTAATAGTTCAAGCAGAAATGGAATTTGGTTGATGATTTCCTATACTGTGATAAGCATTAACAAAATAATTTTTTTTGTAAAGCATATTGGAATACTTTAGGTTAGACTGGGATAGATAAAGTTACACTGGGTAGGTTAGGTTATAGTAATTGATACCTACACACTGTAATCTGATCTCCGCAAAAAACAAGAAGTTTGTGACAATAATCAGAAGGACAAGTGTAGTAATTTATAACAGTTGTTAAATGTAAGAGAAAAGACATGATGTTAAAATAAAATACTTTATTACTACAGGATAGAAAGAAAGTGGTTGACTGTGCTAATGCTAGGACTACTGTGGGATACCATAATAAAAATTTTGAAATATACAACAGTTAAACTGTATTTCAATAGAGAATCTAAATACGAGATAAAAGTATTTAACAAACAAAAAGAATGATAAAATTAAATTTTAATGGCAACAAGGTTAAACAATGCACAATCAGACAATGAACAGTGACAGGAGTTAACAGCAAGTTCTGGCTCTATCCAATCAAAAGCAAACTGCTCTCCTCAGACGTCAAAAGGTACCAGATGAGAAAGCACCATAACTGAATTCACATTTCAATTTTTTCTGTAGCTGACTAATCAGAAAATGAAGAGTGGAATTTGAAAATATCTCAGCTCCACCCTGACAATTCCAAGGTGTCCCCCTATACACAAGATTGAGGTAGGACGCAATGAAACTATCCCACCAAACAATAGATAAGTAACACTTGGCCAACAAATCTTCAGGCTGAATTTTGCAAACTATCTCAACCAGATTTTACTATGTTTCAAGCCAGAATTTGGAAAAGTTAATAAATTTTGTAGATAGGAAATATATATATATATATATATATATACTGTAGCAGAGAAAAATTATGCTTTTTCTCAGAATAGTTAGTCTATTTGTTTAAAGTAAAACTACAAGTAAAAAAATAGTCCATGATGTCTTATATAAGTATTGGAAAAGTAGTTTACTCCTAATAACGAGACAGTAATGTTTGTGATTTTCACTTACATCCACAAAAGGAAACCAGAATTAAGAAAATTTGTCAAACTATCCCTAAGCAACATCATATAGTTTAAAAATGTCTCTTCCAAATTAAAGTCGCATAGCTTCTTCAATTATGAATATATATGTATATATAATGCCTATGCAAGTGAATGTCTAAACATTTGCAAAAAACACATGTAACCATACATTTCTTCCCTTTCCCACTTCTTCATTAATTCTTTGTGAATACATTTCCATTTCTGATTTTGATTCTATGACACAAACTTAAGTCACTTTTCTCCTGGAATCCTAACACTCTTCCATCAATATTCCTTCTGGAAAAACTATAGCTTGTAACAAAACATTCACTTTCAGGTTTGGTAACTGGCACACTGAGATATTTTCATTACACATCATGATATTGTTTAAACACAATATCTTCAATTGTTCTATCCTTAGATGTAATGCTCCTTCTATCATACAGATTATATACCAGATACAGAGATGCACATGAACAACTAGCTTCAACTTTTTCTTAAAAGGAACTCTGCATTAGTCATTCCTGAAGATGTCTAGATGAACAACAGTTGCTGTATATACAGAAACTAAAGATACTACATTATTTTCTTTTATGAGGAATGAAAGCACTCCATCATTGTTTAAAACTAGATTGATGATAAACAGCTTCCAACATCTGATGCTAACTCACATTAGGAAATCAGCAAACAACAAAACTTTTGGATCATCATCCTGGAAAGCCCAACAAAAATAATGGGATGAAAGTATAAAAATATTGGTGATGACACCTATAAGCATCAAGTGGAAATTGTGTTACAGAGCAACTGGGATAAATACAGTTACCTCATATTTGATAAGCAGTTTTCTGCTTAAGGAAATATGGAACCACACCAGCTTTTCTTAATAGGGAGTGGGATACGAGACATATAATAGGGCTAAATTTAAAACTAGATTAATGGACATCATTAGACTGGGGAGAACAACATTTCAGGCGCTGGCCTCTCTGCCCCCTTAGCACTGTCTTTGAGTGCTTTACCAATAAAGTAGTGATTCTGAATTGTTAGTCTTATGTGCAAGTCTTTAACAGTATTAATGAATTAATTTATCTATGTATTTCTGAACAAGGGTCCTAGCTGATATTATTTTTTGAAAGTTCCTTCTGTCTCTTCTTTATTATACTTTTAAGTCTTCTCATGTTCAGTTCTAATGGACTTATATTCATTTACTTGCATTTATTAAAGTATGCTAATATATGAACTTGTTGATGGACTAATTTATAAAGGGAGTTGTAATTTCAACAAGATCAAAAGTGAAAATAAACATTTTATTTCAGCCATTTTGGATCATACAAAATCAATTGTCAGAGGTTTTCTATGAAAACAATTAAACTGCAAGTTTAGTGTAACAAAATAAAACAGTAAAATTGTCAATTCTGAAGGCATTGCCATCAAATTTTCAATACATATTTCAAATGGCATGAATATGCACATTTACTTTTTAGAAGTCAAAACTGTGTACATTAAAGTGGTTCAATTACACACTGTACTTTCCAGAGCTATGCCTTGATTGACAAAGATTGCTGCCATATTTTTGCACTTTTACAGTGATATCCCTGATTTCACATAAGGCTGTTTGTTTTATTCTATTTTGGGAGAGTTTTGGATTATTTTTTACAAGAAAACATAAACTAATACTTTTCTTGTTCTCTGTGATGAAATAAACTTCTAATTTGTTTCTTACTTTATTTCTTTAGTATTTTAGGCTCTACTGCATTTAACTATTATACTATGTAATGTAATCAGCCATATGGTTGGTTGAGTCTGTTATTTCCTTTGTTTTTGTATGACTCACTTGAGTGTACAAGTTCATCAATGCACTTGTGTCATTGCATATTGTCCTGCACACAGCTGTGTACACCATTATTAATTTTTTTTACAATAAGGCAAATGAAAGTTAGCATATGTGATAACTTTACCTTCATTTTCTGAAGACGACACATTCCTTCAACTTTCAAAGATATGGAACAATCTTTTAAATATTTTGTCTACTTTGTGATGCCCTAATTATTAGGAGGCTTACATCAATTCTAATTACTTTAAAAACATGTGCCATCAATCTAACAAGCAGTGTTGTTTTCCTTATTTTACACTTTACCATCACCATGGTTTATCCACTGGTCCTCTATATATATATATAGACACTTGTAGATACAAGAGAGAGAAAAACAAACCAAAAACAAAAGAAGTAAAGGAATAGGAGTGAATAAAGAGAACTGGATAATTAAAACAGTTTCAATTGTAAATAACTGGCAATGTGATTAAGAGTAAATCTATATTTGTTGATTAGAAATTATTCTTTGATTAAAACTTCTATATCAAATTAGTTAAATTTATAAATTCTCCAAAGTAATATAGTGGTCAGACTTCTGTTTTGGTTAGAAATAGTGGATGTTACAGATTACATCATGAATATTTTTTTTTTTTGTTAGAGACACCTAACTGTTCATGAGCATGACTAACAAGATGTTATTTGGTCTTGCCAGTGCATATGGCAGTTTCTCTTTGCATTGTAATAAGTTATTGAACTCTGTCCATACAGCTGAGTTAAAGTGAGCATGAAAAATTGTTTAATTCCATTCAAAATCTAATTTAAAAACTTTTTTTAGAGCATAGCCACACTGAGCTATCTGCTGTGTCCACCGCAGGGAATCGAATCTTGGATTTTGCATTGTAAATCCTTAGACTTACTGCTGTCATACCAGAAGACGAATAGTTAGAAAAATAGATAAAGTGTAGTAGTTTTAAAACCTTATATTCTAGTGCCAGACACATTTTTTGTGTTCTAAAATGCCAGTTTGAAAGCTACATGAATTATTTTTTAGACAAACATCATAGAGAAAAAAGTATGGTTACTAAACCACAGCATCTGAGAGCAAAAGTCCTCAATAAAGAAATGTTAAATTTCTTGTTTTTATGTACCTTTCTTATTTATTGTATATTTTAACAAAAATAACTAAAATATCAAAATTAGATATTTCTTATGTTAGTTAGAAAAATTTAAATAAAATTATATGAGATCAGCTGATTGGAAGGTGAGCTTGTAGATGTGAAAAGGCTAGAACTGAGGCTGTTAGGATAAATAATTGTAATTGTCTGTTATAATGTGTTGTTAGTTATTTGATTTCATATTTTCAACTTTTCATTTTACCATACATTGATGATTTTGTTAGTTAGTGTTAGGGTAGGGAAACAGAAATATAGTTTTACTGGTAAAACTTTTGATATCCACGTAAGAGTTTAAGGAGTTGTGCAAATGGAATATAATAGCCATAAGATGAAAAGAAGTATTTTTATTCTTATCATGAAAACCCCTATTCACTCACACAGAGTCAGTAAAGGCTTCACATGCAAATCTTTAGTAGAAATGCTTCAATAAAAAAAATCAGCACACTTATGACCTTTAGAAAAAGCTTGCCAAACTTCATGATGACACACTTAGTAAATTCAAAATTATAGTATGTATAGTTTCATACTTCCAAAGTGATTCAAACTGACCCACTTCATAAAGAGTTAACCTGAAGGTAGGTTTGAAAATTATTCTAACTTTAAAGTGAGTACCGCAATTGTGTTTTAGCTTGGATAAATCTAGCTGGAGTTGTAGGCTCTATTTACGAAGGTAAGGAATACACATACTACAAGGAGATTTGGAAACATTGGATAGTTTGTTTTTAGGAATGGACTTGGTATTTAAGAAGTTACATTTGAGTTTTTCTACAAAGATCTGGGATTATCAGTTTTGTTTCAAAATGTTGTGCAAGAAAGTTATTTCAGTTTAGAAAGTAGAGTAATGTGAGCAAATTCAGTAGCTTTTATAATGAAGGCATGAAATAAGATTTCTAACTTTATAAAATCTGACACAGAATTATTATTAAAAAAAACATCACTATTCATCTCTTAGTTACACTGCCAACTCCTATAAACTAAAACTGCTTTAAAATGTTCATTTTTTTTTATTCATCCCTATTCCCATGCTTCTTTTAAGTTTGCTTCCTCTCTCCCTATTGCATGTAGAGTGGAGTGAATAACTCAATCAATCAACATAATAGATTACCTATGAGTATCAATTACATTGATTTGTGTCATAAAACCATTAATTAATTGGAATTATGATTAAGTCAGTCAATGGTACAAAAATAAAAATCTAATCAAAATTAGTGTTTATTAGATTATTACTACTTTTCAATTACTCCAACTATCCCAAATAATTGAAATACTGCCAATATGATTTCTCATTATTATTATCAGTTTGATTAATTCAATTTCATTCATCATCGAGCCAGCATGGCTCAGTGATCAGGAAGGTTGCCTCAGTTTCAATTCTCACTGCCACCAACCATGCTTTCCCTTTCAGCTGTATAGGTGTTACATTTGTTTTTGTTTTTGAATTATGTGGTTTATTTTATGTTGCAAATAGTATTATTAAAATTTATTGCTTACATAAAGTTTGGAAAATTGGGATTTATTTTATCTTATAGATAACTAGCTGAAGTACCCATTCCCTGGATGGAAATTATTTATGGAAATTCAAAATCAATGAAACATTATCTTAGGACATGAAAAGTTGCTTCCCTTATATCTGATTGTAAAAAACACAAAAATGCCTAAAAAAACTGCAAAATGCAAAACTGAAAATTTGTATGCATCTCCCCATGGACCCAATGAACCTCCATGCAAAATTTGGTGAAGATACATCTACAGGGGGCAAAGTAGTGGTAAAAAATGAAAAACATCCAAGCAAAATACAAAACCGAAAATTTGTATGTAACTCCCCATGGACCCAATGAACCCCCATATGAAATTTGATGAAGATCCATCCACACAAGGTGAGATAGTGGTAAAAAACTGCAAAAATGCCCATAAAAACTGCAAAACTCAAAACTTGTAAGCCTCTCTCCATGAACCCAATGAACCTTCATACCAAATTTGGTGAAGTTCCATCTACAGGGGGCAAAGTAGTGGTAAAAATGCCCATCAAATCCAGAAAACTGAAAATTTGTATGTATCCCTGCATGAACCTAATAAACGTCCATACCAATTTTGGTGAAGATCCATCCACACCCTTCGAAGTAGCTACATGAACAGAGAACAGACAGTACTATTATATTTATATAGATATTAACATATTAAAAGTATATAATTGTATATACAAATACACAAATCAAGAAGTAGTTTTCTTTCACAACAAGTTAGAGTCTAGATGTTCAAAACTCCTGTACATTACTATGAAACAAAAAAATTAACTTATTACAATTCTTATAACATGAATTTAGTTTAACTAATTTGAAAAATTATTTTCTTAATTTGCATTTTGGTAGTTTGGATAAAAAAATGCATAACCGACTATGTATGGTGTTATATTAATGATAATTCTATAAAGACCTATTAAACACTGGATTTAGTATGGTAGACATAAATTAACTATAAATACAAATTTCCTGCTGTATTTTAATTGAAAGTCTATTTGAGTAACTGTGTACAGAAATAAGGACTTCTGCCTCTAACCAACAGGCCTTGGAGGAAATTGTCTAGTTTGTTTGTTAATAAGCACAAAGTTACAATAATGAGCTATCTGTGTTCTGCCCACTGTAGGTATTGAGAGATAATATGTGCCACCATAAGGCCAATGAAGAATTATTGCATGTTTTAAAACAAACAAAATGACAATTGTGTGGTCATCTAAGTATTAGTGAGTCATAAAATAGTAAATGTACAGATTATCTTACAAAAAAAAATCCAAAATTTTTCACAAAAATCTTTTTTTTTACAAAATACACAAATTGTATCCACCAGATGTCTATCATATAAAACAAAGAGAAGTTAGAAAGTTCATAAAAAACAACAATTAGAAACATTAATCTCATGAAAGGTAATTGAGTTTTTGCATGTAATAAATCGATGAGCCTAACAATTGATTAGCAAATTTCATTAGTTGCCTAGCTCTAATTGTATGTGCATACACATATTAAATTATATTTTTATTTGTTATATTAAACCTACAACTTAATTGTTTCTACAGAAAACCACCAAAGATAGGTCATATATAATTTGAAATAAAATGTTTATTTTCCTTATAATTTTGATCTTGTTGAATTTACATGTTAAGATAGTTTATAAAATTTGACCTTATTAAGTTTAGAATATTTCACTATTTGTTTAAATAATACTTCTCTGAATATTATGAAGACCTCTGTAGAATGAAATTTCATAGTAACTGACACCTAGTTTTATATATAAACTTTAGAAAAAACCCAAACAATTTAATTTATGATACTTAAATCTGCAAATTCAGATTATTAAAATAGAGCAATACCAAATTTTGTTTGTAGACAAT